TGTTGACACTACGACGAATTTTGTTGACGTTGTTGATGTCATTTTGTTGTTGTTGTTGTCGATATGGGTGTAGTAGAAAATGATACGGGCTTGAGTTAATGCTGTTGTTGTTGTTAGTGTAGCTATCAGTGCTTTTGTTGCTAATGCTATAGCGAAACGTGTTGTAGTTATTGATGTTGTTGATGTTATTAGTATTAGTAGTAGTAGTAATGTTGTTGTTGTTGTTGATGTTGTTTTTGAAATCAAACCTCTTATACACACTAGTGCCATTGTACGTTAGTAAATTTTGCCGAAAATTTCCATTAGAACTCTTGTCACTATTAAAACTATTAGTATTACTACCATTATTATTTGTAGTAGTAGTATTTGTAGTATTGTTGTTAGTATTGTTGTTGTTGTTGTTGTTGATGTTGCTGTTGTTGTTGTTGATGTTGTTGTTGTTGTTGCTGTTGTTGTTGTTGTTGTTGCTAACTTTACTAGAGTTGCTTAAGCAAGTGCTATTGCTGATACTGCTGCGGTTGCGACTGATTGGCGATTGGTCGGCAGGCGAAACGGCTTGCGAATCGTCGACGAATGGGAAGTCAAGGTCTACAAAGTGTCTATGATCGTCGATATATGATTGGATGTTGATTAAAGGCTTGTTGTAAGGCGCGTTCTGATTGGTCGACGACGAACCAATGCTATCGAAGGTGCCCTGTGGTTTTTGACCGTGGTTATGATAACTTTATTAATAAAATAATCAATTTTTCTTATTTTGTTCAATAACTTCTTCGTTGTCATCGCTATCATCATCATAATCGCCACAATCACCATCATCATCATCACAATCATCATCACCATCATCACCATCATCATCACCATCACAATCATCATCATCATCATCATCAAGACTACCTTATCGTTTCTCTGTATCTTGTTGACGATTATGGAGTGCCTTCGGTCGGCACTCATCATCATCATCGTCGTCATCACCGAACTTTTCCGACTACTCATTCCACCACCAGCGCTTCCACCGCGGCTACCGCCACCACCGCCACGACCGCCGTTACTCCGACTGGCCGCCAGCAGCTCGGCTGCGGTTAACATTTCCGTTCTTTTCTTCATCTCTTCATCCTGTGAGGATATGAGAGGAGGAGCGAGAAAGATGAAAGTAAAAGAAAGCAGAAGTGAGAGAGTGTGTATGACAGAAAGAGAGAGAGAAAGAGGGAGAAAGAGAAAGAGAGAGAGAGAGAGAGAGAGAAAGGGATAAAAATAGAAATAGAGATAGATAGAGAAAGAGAGAGAAAAAAAGAAAAAAAAAGAAAAAAAAAGAAAAAAAGAAAGAAAGAAAGAGAGATAGAGAGAAAGCGTTTGAAAGAGTGAGAAAATGATAACTAAAACACAACGCGAATGAAAACAGAATTAACATATTAAAACATCATAACCATCATCACCATTTTCATCATCGTTATCACCATCACCATCACCATCGTCATCATCACCACCACCACCATCATCACTACTATCGTCTGCATCATCGTCATCATAACAATCGT